TCTCTCATGGTAAAAGGACCCGCGCAGCAGCTAAGACCCACCCTGTATAAATGCAAAAGTCTGTCGGTGAGGGGCGAAGTGTGCGGTGGTCTCGATTTCACCCGGGCTTTTGGCAGTCTATCTATTGATCTGTGGAATAAGTTTATGGTCGCACGGGTCTCGTATACATCGCATTCGTCTGTCGGATATCTGGGGCTCGATTCTTGAATTTATTCGAAGGAGAAACGTATACGAAAATTCTGCTCTTACAGAAAACTTGCAAGTTGATTGGCTATTCGCATGGCTTTAACCAATCGACTTTCAACTTTTCTGTCAGAGCAGAATGTTCGTATACGTTTCTTCTTCGAATAGATTCAAGAATCGAGCGCCTGGGCGTTCTCAATTTTCCGCCATGTTTTTATTCGCGCCAACAGTGTATCAAAGTGCCTGGGCCCTTTTCAGGATCGTATCCAGCGCATACGAACTGGCATACATTATTTATTGTAAATAGAAATGGCCTATGAAAAAAAAAGTTCTAATAAAAGTAATTAATGTAATTACTTGCTCCAACGTATAAATGTATTTACGCATTATTCGTCAACACTGCGAATTTTTCCATGTCACACCGACTTTGCACTAAAGCCCGCTGCAGACGATGCTATTTTTCCTGCTGGATTGCTTGCAATTTAGTAAATTACTAGGAATCCTGAATGCTGAGTGGTGCAATGATAGTAATTTACTAAATTGCAAGCAATCCAGCAGGAAAAATAGCATCGTCTGCAGCGGGCTTTACACACGTACAAAAATCCTGTGATTGGTCAGAATAAAAACATGTCGGATGCGCAGTACAGATCGGCGCGAACGTGAAACAAAAGAGCGAGTGGGCATACTGGTTATACTGTGATAGCTCTGGGAGAGGGAGCTGGGAGCCACAACTAGAAGAAGAAGAAAGAAGATCCAGCGTGAGTCCTACGTGGTTCTGCGTCAGGGGCGCACGCTATTGCGAGAAAGGAAGAAGAAGAGAGAGAAGCATCAGTTTTCTGCGTATCCGTGTTTCCACGTAATCTGTTCTCCTCGCGTAAGTGTTAATAATTAATCGTATAATGCGAGATCTGAAATCAACAAGTGTCTGCTTCAGCGAGTTGCAGGAGGGCTACGACCACGCGGGAAGAATCGCCATTAGCGTTGGTTAAGTGAAGAGCTGGTAGGAAATAAGAATTTACTTAGGCCCGGTCTACAATGAGTCGTTAGTCAGAAGTCGGAACTATATGTCGGTCCTTTTTCTTCTACCCAGAGAGGAAAAGGATCAACATATAGTTGCGACTTCTGACTAACGACTAACGACTCATTGTAGACCGGGCCTTATCGCAGCGTTTCGCCGCGGTCGACATCGATAGGCTCGAAGATCGGATGCGAGGAAGGCGTACGCATTCTGTGTACGTACCTCGACGAGATTTCAGCTTGCGTATATTCTAGAGGTGAGTGCGTGGCGTGCAAGTGTTACAGCCTATCGCACAATGCCAGGCAACGGGAACAGAAGATAGAACTTCCGCCGCGTTGGATTGGTTGGAAGAAAATTTCCGACGAGTCCAACGCGTCAAAAATTCTGTTCCCTATTCCTATTGGCTGTTGCCTGGCATTGTACGGTGGGCTTTATGGTGATACAGCATTTGTGGAAATTTCCCAAAGTTGACCACAAAGTGTTCCGCGAATTATCGTGCGAGCTACACAAGATAGATCTTGTAGCGATAATTTTACTGGACAACAAGCTTGACCTTGTTACTAGGGTTGTGATAAAAATAAGGATATGTACGTGTTTTTGTTTGTCTGTTGAACATTTGCCGTGAGATTTGTTCAGCAAGGACTTGACAAAGTCGCCATCGGGACAGCGGATCGTTTCATGATCAAAATACTGATCCAAATGTAACATTGGCGAAAAATTTGAACAGCTTTAAAAATACTCCAATGTTTCCTTCGAGTTGTTACTAACATTAGAAAGTAACATCTTTCTCTTGATATGATAACAAAAAAGTGGCATTTTAATGACTGACTTTCTAATTTGTAGAATTGGATTCTAAAAATGGAGGATGCAAACATCCTAGTCACCTGTCCGCTCAATCCTGCGCATCGCATTCGCAAATATAAACTTATGGGTCATTTGGTAAAATGCAAG